TTAAAACATCATTTAATTTATGTCTTATAGGGTTTATACTGAGTACAATATTGTATAACTGTAATAATTCAACTGTAAACCTAACAATTTACAGCCAATTTTGAAAGAGATGCATCTAGCTCTGGAAATTGTTACTGAATATGTCAATGCTGTTGTCATGAAATGCTTCTTCTAATTATATGGTTATTAAAATAATTAAAAAAATCAAAGTTACCTAAGGTCCCATTTTTGGCAAAATCAAAAGGAACAAGGCAATCTCTCAGCAGAAGTATAAATAACAGGATGAGAGAAGGAGAAATTACTGTCAGTTCAGGAGCAGAGGGTACCAGCAGCTGGCCCACAACTCATCAGCACTGAAGAAAGAAATGAACTCCCGGGGAGTGGAGAGATGGCTCAGTGGTTAAGAGCACTTGCTGCTCATCCAGAGGACCTGGGTTCAGTTCCTAGCACCCACAGGATAGCTAACAACCCTTCAAAACTTCAGTTCCAGAGGATCAGACACCCTCTCCTGACCTCCTCAGACACTGCATGCACATGGTGCACTAATATACATGCAGGTAAAAGCACTCATACACATAAAATAAAACTTTTAAAAAGAAAAAGAAATTAACCCAGTAAGGGGAAACCCAACAATGTGTTTCATGCTAAGGAAACAACAAAAGTACCTCAATTAGTTCTGCTCACTAGGGAGTGAGTCAGCACATTATACTCACCCAGCAGGGCAGCGACTATGCCCACCAGCCCTGTGCCAGCACCCAGCTCCACAGCAGAGCATCCCCTGAGCTCCACAGCACCCATCTCCAGATATGTGGAAAGAACGATAGCCTGAGTCAAAACACGGTGTAATTAGGATTAAGGTCAGCAAGTTCTTGAAAGGCTGTAAGACTTCAGGATGGCTACACACAGGCAGGAAGAGGTCAAAACCTACACACACACACACACACACACACACACACACACACACACACACACACACACCCTCCCTCCCCAGCTGCAAAGTGCAGTTCCCAGCTCAGAGAACTTAGCTGCTGCTACAAGGTAACCTTCAGAATAAACCCAAGTACAGTGTGCTCAAAGCCCCTGTGTGCAATAAAAGCTAGCTAGGGGCCTGCTAAATCTGAAACCCCCAATCACATTGGGGTTTACAAAGCTATTCTGGAAGAATTGATTTGAATGAGCTCTGCTTTTCTTCAAGGCAATGCCCAGTTCCTGAGCCAAGCTCAGGTCAGCAAGGCACAACTTCACCTAGAAGGAAAAGCATTGTAATGCTCAAGGCTTCCTGAATTGTGTTGCTGACTCACTCCCCTGCAGTCACCTCCTCCACCCCAGCCCCCCAGGGACCTCATCATGTTTTGGGTATCAGAAGCAGGTTTTGGCCAAAGTTTTGGAACTTCATATGTTGAGTAAGCATTTGCTTAGAATCCCGTAATTTTTACTCTAATATGGCTTTTTCAAAGCTATATAACAGTATATAATTGACAGACCTTGGTGAGCATCTATCTATGAGGCAACCCATCCCTCATCATTATTTATCTTTACTGCTTATGGAAAGTTTTCTGTAGTTACTAGTACGTTAGAATATACTAATGTTTTTTATTACTAAATGTTTGTCCCCATCTCTTATACAATGTCATGACTATAAACTTATCTTTATGCCAATCATTTATTCTGCATGAACTGAGTGAGTATGTCCCCTCTCATCCTGGATGTGTGGTGATAGATGCTGAGGACAGAAAGTGGCCATCAGAAGTAGAAAAGCAACTATCAATTTGCAACTATGTGGCAAACTGAAAACATATGATGTTCATTTTTGGCTTTGTCTCTACCTTTTCTTTGTGCAGCATTTTTAAAAGGCTAACATACCTTGCGTCCAATGCATACAAGCTCCTGCTTTCCCTTCAGTAATTTGTTTTTCACTGGGCAAATAAATACTGGTAAGTCATTTCACTTCCCTCAGCTTTCAAAACGCAATGTATTTAAGGAGACAAAGGGAATGACTAGTAGGGGAGGAGATGGGGGAGGGGGGAGTAATGATGAGAAAACTTAAATTGAGGTAGAGATGGGTATATTACAATGAATATACTTTTTTTAAAAAGTGCATTTGTATACTTTACATGGGTGGAGGGCACATTTAAGTCTGAATAAAGCTGTTGACTTTCTAAAATAAGTCGTCTTACAATTGTGGATGTTTTCAGAGACCCTCCAGGACTGACTTACCGCATCCCAAACCACTGCAGCGACTCCCAGTTGCCTCCAGTCCTGCCGGATCTGGATGGTGTGGTTTGCAAAAGAGAAGGTGGCAAGAGACTTGTGGAACTTCTGGAGCCCCACTGCCCCTGTCTCCTCATAGGGTACCAGGGCCATTTCTCCTGAGTCTAGTCCCCTGCTGAGACCTGTCATACAAAAGAATCCCGAGTGACACACAAGTCAGAAGTTGTATTTCAAATGATCGTTAAGGCTGTTCCACAAATTCAAAATAAGAAAAAAAAAAAAAAAAAAAAAAAGACCACAGACAGAAGCACAATTCCTTTAGTAAAGTGCTTCCTCCAAATCACTGGATGTGAATTTAGCTCCGAGTTCGTGTCATCTTTGGGCTAAAACACCTAGAATGCTCCAACTCCATGTACTCATGTGCACAAAGCAACAGTGACCAGGGCCGCTGGACTTCCGGGACTCGCCTGGAGAGCAGCTCCGGGCTGCGGGGTTCCAGCTTCTGCTCTGGTCCTCCCACCTATATCGCCACGTTGGGCGGGGCCAAAGGAGCGGCATCTACACTTGGATCTTATATCGGTTTTCCCTGCCTTTATACCCCGGCCGGCTCGCTACGATGGACTGGAGGCTGGAATTCGACGACACTCGTGGACTCCGCGCCGCTGGAGGGGGAAAGCGCGGCCGCGGGATCCAGGTGCACTCGAAGCCAGGGCTTAGGAGCCTGAGAGGTGCGGAAGCTCAGCTCCTCGGGGCCCGCAGCTGTGCCTTCCTCCCCGTTCGCCCCAGAAACCATGCAGGGGCGGGAGCTGGACCTAACTGGGCGGTCCACATGCCTATGGGGACCCGCGGATGCGGGAAGCGGAAGGATGGAGCAGACACTATGCCCAAGCTACCGCCAAGAGCAGCAGTCACAAGTACTCACGGCTTGGGGGTGGGGTGGCGCATGCGCATCAGCTCTACACTGGTTGGCTGAGGCGAGCTCCGCCTTGATGAGCAGGATTGGCAGACGGCGGGTGGAGGCGGGCCCGGCGGGGAGGGACACGCGTTTCCGATGCTCCTCCCCTCCCGCCCGGAGACACGTGCTTCCGGCAGTCTAGGGCCTGGAGTTCCAGGGTGGGGCCGCCGTGGGTTGTGCGGTGTCCGGACCTGCCCGCGCCGGTTGCCTCAGCAGGCGGTGCCCGACGGGGACAGCCAGAGGCCAAGGGCTGGAGAATGGGGGGGGGGGGGGCTGCGCTGCCGAGACCGGCGGGGAAGACGCCACCGCCTTGCTGCAGATGTACTCTTACGCACCCTTCTCGTTTGTGCATTTTTTATTTTAGTTTTAAAAGTCGTCAGTTAATGGGTGGAGAAAGTGGATCCCAAGGCCGTGCGGGGTCGTTGCCAGTTTGGCGGCACCCGAGTGGGAAAGTCACCACAGAGCGTTTCTTTACCAAGGCACCCAAGTCCCGGGTGTTGCCGAAGCCGGGGTGCCCCTTCCGTCCCTATTCCGGGACACCCAGCTTGCCGCGTGAGCGGTACGGTTCCAGGCCCGCAGTTTCTGCAGCCAGACTGAGCGTCCCAGGAAGACGTCCTCTTGGAACTTTACTTCCCAGGCCCCGACCTCCAGCCCCCTCCCCTCCTGGTGTTCCTCAGCCTCTGCTGCAATGCCCGGATCCCCGGACACCGCTACCGCGACTCTCCTGGTGGTGAGCCCCAGCTGTGAGTTGGTGCTGCTCCTGGGGAAACTGCCTGGCAGGGGGCATACCCTGACTTGCATTTCCTGGACCAGCCAGCAGAGGGCCAGGGACAGGTGGCTTGAGGTGAACTGTGATGTGAAGACTATTATGAACCCTGCCTGTAATTTTCATTTGGGTTTTCTCTCCGTTTTTCTCTTTGATAGGTCTTTTCCTCCTTACCTGCGCCATGGCCTTGTGCTGCTTCTGCAGCTCCACTTTTTTTTTTTTTTTCCCGTTTTTGAGACAGGGTCTCCCTGTAGCCCCAGCTGACCTGGAACTATGTAGACCAGGGTGGCCTTGAACTCACAATGATCCGCCTGCCTCTCCGTCCCGAGGGCTGAGATTAAAGGCGTGCGCCAGCACGCCCAGCTCCTTTTTTATAATTTTAAGTCGCCCTTTTTTTTTCCCCATAGGGAAAGATGTTAATTGCCCTAACTCAATCTGCGAGCAGTATATGCACATGTAAAAATGTTGTACTACCCCATTAATAGAAATGATTGCATGTTAATCAAAAGAAAAAACTACCTTTCTTCCCAGAATTTTTTTTCTCATTTCTTTCCTTTGAGGAGTCAATGCTAGACCCAAGAAAAAATGTGCGCTTTGAGACCAGAGAAACATTTAAAATTTCAGTCTTGCTTCTGACACCAAATGGGTTGACCTCCCTGGAATCTGGCTGCCCATTGGATTCTCTGTTCTCCATCTTTTTCAGTTTTTTTTTTTTTTTTTTTTTTTGTGTGTGTGTGTGTGTGTGTGTATGCGTGTATGCGTGTGTATGACTTGAAAACTTTCCGGACTTCTCCAGCACTCTGCATAACTTAGGACATATGCTGCAGCATTACATTTACTTAGTTTACCTAAAAAAGACCTTTTCCTCAGCCTCCCAGTGTTATAATTATTACCAACCTGCTCAGAAAATACACACACATATTTAGCAACATAAAACTTACATAGTTGTGTAGACATGAACAGAGTTCATATTTTAGCAAAATAAACCAACCAGTGTTGCTCTGGATATTGAAAAATAAAGTTTAATCTTTGAAAAAATTGGGCGTGTGGTAATGATGTATTATTTAAACTGCTCAGCCTTCTCCAGGCCTGTGTCTATGCCCCATCCAAACGGATGCTCCCCACCCCCTTGGATCATACTTGGCCATATGAATTGCTCAATTAGTAGAACAAAGGTGGAAGGGGCATTTGCAACCTCTGAACAAGAACGGGTGCTCTTGCCCACTGCTCCAGGACTGCAAGTCTTACATTAGGAATTAGCACCAGGGAGTGAGAAAGCTTGCCTTTGTTTTAACACTGGAGATTTGGGGGTTGTTACAGTTTTACTTAGAAGCTGGCAGAACACAGGTGTGAGCAAGCCAGGAGGCTTCAGAAATGAGGTACAATGTTTTAGTATGAATGTTGAGCTGTTCAGCAAAGTAGGGATTCTTTTTGGAGCTGCCAGGCTTCTAAGAATTTCATTATCCTCTCTACTCCCAGTGTCAGCATCAGCTGAAGATGACTCAACACCTTCATCAAGCTGTAGTTCGAAGAACTGAGAGGGCCCTTACTGACAATCTCTTTGGTTGGTTGGGTTTTAGTTTTTCTTGGGTTTTGACTTTTGTTTTAAACGGCTCCCAGTCTATAGTCCTGCCTTGCCTTGAACTGTGGCAATCCTGTCTCAACTCCCTGATGCTGGGATTGTGTGTGTGAGCCAACATGCCTGCTCTCACTAACAGCCTTGTTGGGGATATGCAAAAGGGTAGATTTGTTTTTTGCATTATCTGGTAGTGATTCTAAACTGGACTTTAATTATAACAATTCCTAGAATTCTGCTTTTTGCTTCTAGAAATGTGGCCTGAGTTCCTTTCTTTGGCTGTCTCCTGGGCCATGGCAGCCAGAAAGGGAATGTGCCTGGTATCAGCAGATGTGTGGCCTTCCTGTACATCTCCTTGCGCAGTCTCTGTGAGGAGGAGAAATTAGCTACAATGCAAACGATAGGCTTTTAGTTGCCAGTGAAGGAGTTGAGGGATGATTGCTCTCAGGTGTGAAGCCTGGGGATGCTGGGGTAGAGGCAGCTGCTGGAGGGCCTTTCTCTGATTTTCCTTCATCTCTTTGAGCAGATACTCCAGAAAAGAAAACTATGGTCATAGACTCTCTCTCCTGGGAAGCTCCTCAACCAGAGAAAAGGGAATTGCAGGAAGAAACACAGGAGGTCACTGTCTTCCCAGATAAACTCTGTCTCAGGTTCCTCTGGAGCCTACTCTTCTCATAGGAACTTCTCGAGACAACTTTCAGTACATCAAGAAACCCCATGCTCCTGTTGCTTCCTGTAGCCCAGGATCTTCCTTAAGCTTCCACAACTCACTAGGCTTAAGGGTACTCCCTCTCCTTACTCTGATTCCTGCATTACATAATACAGTTGTATACCTTTTCTTCTGTTAATATGTCTACTGTCAATTCATTTCACAGACACAATTATTAAACCTTCAGAGAGGAATAGTTCCCTTTCCATTGCAACAGTTTTGTTTTTCTCTTAAAAGAATGTGTGTGTGCACGCACACATGGGAGAGAGAGAATATTGTTTAAGAACATGTGGCCCCCTTGTGAAGGTCAGAGGACAACCTTGGGTGTTGGTCCTCATCTTCCACCTTATGTGAGACAGGGTCTTGTTCACTGCTGCCTGTGACAGGCTAGCTGTCCCACAAGCTTCTGGGGACTCTCCTGTCTCTGCCTCCCATCTTACTATAGGAGCACTGGGATTGTAAACACATGCCACCACATCTGGCTTTAGTGGGCTCTGAGGATTCAAATTCAGTTCCTCATGCTTACATGGCAAGTGATTTATCATCTCCCTAGCCCTGCATCAACTTTTGACTTTTATCTATGCGACAGAATTTACCTTCTCCCATCATACCACACTTGACGGAAGATTCATGTCCTTCCTGCTTTCTGGAACTGATCCATGTTTGCGGTTACTGAGGAAGCAGTCACCTTGGTTCAACTTGATCCCTTGCTCGTCTCCTTACCAACTGGATACACAACCCCAGGCTGGGTAAATAATTCTGAGAAATCAGAGTAACTATAGAAAGTTGTTGACTGCCCAGCATCTATTTCCCATTTTCCTGGTAGCAGTTCTGTTAATGGTCAAAATCCCAGCTTCTGAGGCCAAGTTCTGAGTCAGCTCCCAGCTCTGCAATTTACAAATGCTCCTCTGCTTACAAAATGGTTACGTCTAGATAAATCCACTGTATGTTTGGAAAATATCGTAAGTTGAAAATGTACAGAATACATCAAACCTAACAAGCACCATAGCTTAGCAACACAGAAGGCTGAAGAGAGTCTGTTGTTTGTCCTTGTGATCATGCAGCTGACTGGAAGCTGCAGCTCACTGCCCTGACCAGCATCTCAAGGGAGGATCATGCTGCATATATACAAGCCTGGGAAACGCACCAAATTCAAAGTATAGCTCCCATTAAATGCATGACATCTTTACACTGTTATAAGGTTAAGGCATCATAAGTTGGCGACTGTATTAGCTCTGGGGGCTTGTGTCTCAACTTTCCCATCCATAAAATAAGGGCAATAGAATGATCAAATTAGAAAATAAGAAGGCATAATGGTTATCCAACAGACAGCACACCATATACAGCAGCTCCTGTCATTATTACGTAATTTGGAGTGGGCTATCCTTAGCTCCAGCTCTGGTACCAGGGATGTCGTAGTAGCGCACACTCCTGTCTGAACATGCCTTAGAAGGACACATGTGGCCAAAGCTAGGTCTGATCAGCCCTAAGGCTCCTTGGCACCCTTTGAGAAACAGCCTGTTAGGGAAGGGGAAAAGCATGAAGTGGTCCAACGGGTTGGTTGACTGGTCCCAAGAGAATTGAACCAGCAGAGAAATGAATGGCCCGGTGAAGGGAGAGGCTGCCTCTGACAGTGCCCTCTGACCACCTGGATCCAGCTGGTCCAGAATTTTCCATTATGTGAGCCATTAAATTCCCTAATTAGCTTAATCCCTTTGAGATGCTTTTTGCTGTTATTCTCTGCAGAAGAGAATGATCCTAATACACCCAGTCTGGCTGATCCCCTGGACAAAGAAGGTCCAAAGTCATGCCTGTGTGGGCTGTCATCAAAGTGCTGTGCAAAGTAGAAGCAGATGCCCACAGAAACCTGGGCAAAGCTGCCAGGCTCCACAGAGTCGCTAGTTCTGAGCCCTTTCTCAATGCACTTGGACTCCTGGACCCCCTGGGCACCCAGGTATGAATACCAATGGGATAAAGTTCTCTTTTTTGCTCAGTGTGGCTCAAGTACCTAATGCATGCAACCTGATGATTGGATGATTTGTGATCCTTTTCAGGAAGTCACAGACAGAACAGAAACACTTGACAAGTTCCTCATACATGATTTGGTGATACGAACTGGCCA